ATAGACATAGTGCAATAAAAGCTCTTAAAATGGGTTTTATTGCACGTCGGCATATTGATCAAGTTGAGATTATTTATTCTTAAATTATAAGAATTAGATATTCTTAATTCCAAGTTATTCCTATCCTTGTACAGCTTAAGAAGAGAGTTATAGCAAATAAATGCCTTAATGGAAGAATTTTTAGTACCTGAAATAGAGGCCAACAGCTGAAGTTACTACTCTTGTAGTTAATAACCCGAATAATACTTTTTCTGTAATCATATGACGGTCTCAGTTTCTGTAATAATATGACGGTTTCAATTTTAAATAATATGACGCATAATTTTGTTTTGTCGCTTATAATAAGTTTATGAACTAGAAACCACTTCCTAAGTAAGTTCACGTCATACTCTATAGCACTTTTGAGTGATACCAAATTTCGTTCACTATAAGATAGGGAACAATCATCTGCAAAGCCAGTTATTTTGCCTTTAAAAGGTTAGGAAAAAATAGAGTTGATATAAATTAAAAAGAGTTGAGGTCCCAATACCGAACCTTGTGGAACACCAATATTTATAGTTTTTGAATCACTTAACGTACCGTTTAATTTAATTTTCTGCTTTCTATTACTTAAATAAGAAATCTGAAAATCTAACAAAAAACCTCTAAAACCTATTATTCTTAATTTTTCTATAAGTATTTCGTGATCGATCATATCAAAGGCGTTAGTTATATCTATAAAAAGTGCCAAAGTACATTTACTTGCATTTATACTTGAGTATAACTCAGTACATAGTTTCAAAATTGCGTCCTCAGTATTTTTACCAGATAAAAAACCATATTGATTTTCGCTAAAAAAATTTATCCTGTTTAAAAAATTCAACATTCTAATTTTAATTAATTTTTCAAATAACTTTGCCAAAGACGGCAGAATTGATATCGGTCTATAATTACTTAGCAACAATTTTGAGCCTTTTTTATGCAAGGGAATTACTTCAGCACATTTTATTAGAATCAGGAAAACAACCACTGTAAATTGATAAATTAAAAATATAACTCAAGACCTCAGATATTTGTAGAGCAATTTTTTTGAGTAGGAAATTGTTTATATGATCACTAGTACACGATTTTTTATTATTTAAATCTAAGATACTAGATACTACTTCACCAGGTGTGATTTCGAGAAAACCATAAGAATTACGTAAATATACATCAGAACGAACATTATAAGAGTTCAACGAACAGTTACTATTTGGTTAATTTTTTTTATTTAAGTTTTTCGCAGAATCAGCAAAATAGTCGTTAAACATTTTTATAATTTCGCATTGATCAGAAATGATAGTATTATTAAATTCAATTTCGTTAATAACTGAGCATGGATTTTTTTCGTTCAAAATATCTCTAACTAAAACCCATTCCTTTTTGGAGTTGCCATCGCACTTACTGAGTTCTACCGAATAATAACCATTTTTGAGTTTCTATCTGAATACGAATATTCTTACTAAGCTTTTTAAATAACTTTTTTAGAGACTCATTTTCAAGATTTCTTTTACTATTTAAACCAATTTTATTTTTATATCTTATCTTTGTTAAAAGTTCGTCCGTCATCCACGGTTTTAGTTTTTTATTCTTACTCGGTACTAAAATAGCGGAAGAGCAACTACCAATATGGAAATTTAGTGTATATACAAAATTATCATAAGCTATAAATGGATTTGTAGCGTTATATATTGTTCCCCAAGTCTCTGCTCTAAGAACCTCACATAATTTTTAAAAAATTTGTATTTTTCACATGTATTGGATTCTTAATATTTTTTTGCTGAGGAGAATTTACGTGCATAAAATGTAAGGAAACCATATTATGATCACTTATACCTAAATTACGGTTATCAATCGCTGGTTCCATATTGAAATTTTTCTCACAAATTCTTAAAAAAATATGATCAATACACGTGCTTGAGTAATCTGAGACTCTAGTAGGTGAGTCAATTAGAGAATTTAATACTTCTACGCAAAACCATTTCAAAATAAACGCCAAAAAACATATAATTTAGAAAGTGCATTGATTGACATTGATGAACATTCTACCCAAAGCTAAATGAAAGTAAATCAAGTCATGATACAGCTGAAGTCAAATATTAAGTAAGCCCGTCACAATTGAAATTTCATAGTGTTATAGCATCAATCCAAAACAGCGAAATACCAAGGTATGATTTGACAACCAGTTTGGATGTCAAGCTCAGATAGAAAGAACATGTAAAGAAAAAAATAGAATTAGAAAACAAATTTAGAAGAAAACTATTGACTCCTAGATAGTAGGTCTAGATTGGTAACATACAATAAGGCGTTGATATATAACCAAATGATAAAACTTGTATGAGTGTTTGGCTTGCATCCCTTGGGTTGTAACAAGCAAAACCACATCAAACAAATACGTACTTTCCAATACCTTCGTGATATAGTTGGTGCTCCATGGTATGTGCGCAATAGTTACATTCAAAGGGATCTGGGTGTTCCCAAAATAAGTGCGGAAAGTGGGAACTGTGCCATGAAACACAGGGAACCTTTGGAAAAAAGGGTTTTAACAAAAAGACTGAGACGAACGAGACCTTCCGATTTAGCCTAATGCTATGAAAATGCCTCCGTGCCTTCACGGAATGTAGACACAAAAACGCGATAGACCAAAACTAATAGTTAGTCAGTTTAACTAGTTATAGTAGTTTATGACCATACAAGTTTTAGGTTGGGTTAAGTACCCCACTTTTGATAGGTCTGATGACAGTTTGAGTCCACCTATTTTTATCTTCGATGATTTTCAACACCTATATTAAAAAAAAAATTATATACTCAGTAACAAAAGTCTAGTCTCTATTGCTATAAGCAATATTTATACCCGTACGAACGTATGTTCGAAGGGTATACTAAATTTGCCTTACCGTTTGTAACGCTAAGAAATAACGGTCTTGGATATAGACTCAAGTGTATGTTTTTGATCAGCGTCGAATTCTGAGTTGATTTAGCTTTGTCTGTCCGTCCGTCCGTCCCAACGATAACTCAAAAACTAATTGAGCTAAGTTCACCAAATTTTCACAAATGATTTATTGTAATAAGTGCCAGAACCCTATTTAAATTGGACATGATCAGCGTACCGGCTTGGGTAGCTGCCATACAACTTCAAAATTTATTTGGCTATATCTCAGCTGTTGTATTAAAATTTCACACAAACGAATATATTAGTAGGGCCAATGTGTCTCATAAAATTTGTTGAAATCACTTGGACACACACTTCAAAAGTTATTTGTCTATATCTCAGAAACTATAAAAGCCGTGGTATTGAAATTTCACAAGAACAAATATATTTGTTGGGCCGATGTGTCTGATAAAATTCGTTGAAATTACTTGGTTCCTTCTGGTACCTGCCATACAACTTCAAAAGTTTTTTGGCTATATCTCAGAAACTATAAAAGCTATGGCACTGAAATTTCACACAAACAAATATATTAGTAGGGGCAATGTGCTTGATAAAAGTCGTTGAAATTGTTTTGCTCCTTGTGGTAGCTGTCGTACAACTTCAAAAGTTATTTGGAAATATCTCAGAAACTATAAAAGCTGTTGTATTGAAACTTCACACAAGCAAATATATTAGTAGGGCCGATGTATTTGATAAAATTCGTAAAAATTTCTTGGCTCTTTCTGGTAGCTGCCATACAACTTCAATAGTAATTTGGCACACACAGTATTTTGAAAAACACATAGTACTGAAATTTTGCATAAATTAATATGCTAATATGCCAACTTAAGGTCATAGTCAGTTACGGCATCTTTATTCGCGCACATAGGATAACAAATTCGTACGGGTATCACAGAGTTGACAAGGTCAACTCTATTTTTTCTCGTTTTTTTTTAAATCTGGCTATATTAAGTCGCGGCAACTAAAATTTTTTAATGTTCAAACCGTGACTAATTAAGTTGGGTTGCATTTCTGCCGGAACTACATTTCCAAATATCAAAAAATATTTACATTCAGGTTTATGATAAATTTCATAAACGCAGCATAAATTATTTCCGTGATTTCAATAATGCGCTCGCGACGTAAATTTTACAAAGTGCCAAGCTCCAAAAAGTTTAGTAAGAGCTCTTGACAATGTTCGTTTTTCCTAAATGCGTTTATTACGTAGAGAAGACGTAAAATTAAAGCAAATCGGGTATCGAAAAAATCGAGCACGCTTTTCTTTTACTTTATCATATAACCAGATATGCCAGAGATAACCGATAAAATAAACTAGCATATATTTTCAGCAATAAAGTTCTAGTTATAAATTGTTTTTTCGCTAAAATAGCATAAAAATGCTGTTTTTGATAATGTGGTAACGTTTTATAAAAATCAACATTTGAACAGAACTTTAAATTGAAATTTTTAAATAAACGTCAAAGTTGTATTGATATGATAAAAATTGTATTCCTAAATATACGAAAAGCTTTAGTAGTTTTTTTTTAAAATGTAAAGGTATTGAAAGCTCTGAGACGGTACTAAAACCGTATTATTACCGTACTTAAATCTTTTTTAAAGCATTACTAAAGTGACGGTTTATGTTCATAAATAATAATGTTATTACCATAATTTGTTCATAAACATATAATAATTTATTGCAACATGGTGAAATTACTATTTGCAACGCAGTTAAATCATGAACTGCTTTGATTTTGTAGAATGTGTAGTTAAAAATATGCTTTATATTCATCACGTCTTCCAATATTGCATTCAGTGTTTTGCAGTGTTGCGTTTATGAAAATGTTAAACATCTTACCTTTCTTTTTAAAAAGAAAAAATGCTGGTATACAAACTCTCCATTCTTCTTTTTTATTGTTTCCACGCATGCATTTTGCATATAATAAAATGCATTTATATAGGTTAGAAGGTTGCAATGCATTGGTTTGCAAATAAATTAGAAAATATAACACTTAGAAAAATTTTTAGTGAACAAGTTCTTTTGGCCTTCTTCAAGAAATAAACTAAAATGTTTGTCTGTATATTAAACTTATATTATAGAAAAACAATATTTTGTACAACTGTACATTATTTCACTATTTGACTTGACGGGACTTCCATTTCCACCTCGTACTCGATTTCAACTCTTGGTTTTACCATTTTACGTAAGTTTTTAGATTTTTTGGGTTTCTGAATCATTGTTGCTGAATCTCCACTTTCCTGTTTTTTCTTCAATTGCCAAACTTGTTTTTTAACAAAAGTTCCACCACAATTCTACAAAGAAATTTAATTATTTAAAAATAATAAATAAATAGTCGTATGGGCTTTCGTTGAATTCATTGCAGGTATGTTACCTGGGAATTTAAGATTATATTGTGTGGTCCGGTTATGGCTCAAACTCACCCAGGGGCTAATTCCTTAGATTTTTTTAGGAAGAAAACAAGGTGGGTGGGGGGGTGGGCAGAGAGAGCTCTGATGTCTACGGTTACGAATTTTGGGAGAGGACTGTTAAAAAAATGCAATTGAAAAAATCCTCTTCTTAATAAACCTACATAGCGATACGTAACTGATTTCGAGTTATAGTCATTCAAACATAAAAAGTCTTTAATTTTTTTAGATATGTGGCGACTTCCTTTTTCTCTGACGGTGGCTAGGTATTGCCACATCGGCGCAAATGGGCCAAACATGACCCACTTTTGTCGTAATTTTGAACAAAACTTTAATTTTTCTTGTTAGAATTTTAATTTAATCCATTCTAATAAGTTGTCAACGCTTTTTTACATATTAATATTATTGTGAATATACATTATAATGATACGCATGATCATACTATACCTTTACGTATTGGTGATAATATACAGTTATTACTTTATATGTAACTGCTTACATATAAATTACTTTACTCTTTTTATAATTTTAATTTAGTCTCTTAGAAAACTTTGTACTGTAAAGAATATAATAAATTATGTATGAATTCCAACAGGTTTTGAGCCCTTTAATCACACGGTATAAAATATTAAAAAAAAGTAAGAAGTTTAAAGTAGGATTTTTTTTAAAATTTATTTAAAACTACATATGCTAAAAAAACATGACATTTTTCAAATGAAAAAATGGAAAAATTGGGCGACAATTTTTGCTCGCAATTACGATACTTGGCGAGTAAAAATTAAAAGCGTACTCATCTTTAATGATTTCTGGGTGTTGTACTATATACCCGGAATGGGGAAGAATGCTGTTCATTTGAACAAAATGAGAAATCTAGGGAAAAAAGAAATCAAAAACATCGAATAAGGCGTGAAACATATTAGAAAAAGTATATACATCGAAAGGACCATCGAAGAAGCTGATGCTGTATATTAACATATTTATACAGAAACAAAGGTTAATGAACATTTAAGAGATTTTACCAATTAACTTGACCAAATTGAAGAAATGGGAATTATTATACCTAAAGAATTAGTTTCAGTTATGATGCCTAATAGTTTACCAGATGAGTATGAAAATTTTAATATTGCAATAGAAATCGGAGACAATTTACCAGAATCTGAAGAATTGAAAATAATGTTTATATTATTAAAGTTTATATTAATAAGAATTTAACATCTTTTAAAGAAGCAATAACTAGTTTTCACAAATTAAATTGGTTAAAATCTATGAAATCAAAATTAGAATCTTTGAATCAAAATAACATTTGGATCGTTGCAGATTTTCCAAAAATTAAATTAAAGAGAGCTTAACATAATAATCGATTTTAAGGGTTAAGATTTAGAAAAATAATTATGTTTTTTAACTGCATAGAATTTACCGTTCGCTTTCAGCGTTTATAAAAATTTGAAAAAGCTTGTGGTTTTGGAAATAAAGGATGTTAAATATTCAAATTTTACAAATTTCGAGAGCTGATAACTTAAAGAGTGGTTGGAGATGGAAAAAAAATGTTCTTCTAACGAAAAAACTATTTATTAGTATCTAAAAGTTGCTAACATTTCAGGCTCCTACAACCTGGGGTCTAGAAGAAAAACGACATCAAAAATTTGAAAATAACGGATTTTAGATAGCGGTAAATTTGAACGGCCATTTTGTTTTTTTTAAGTTTTTCTATAGTATGCCACGATAGGAGAAGCAAGCCACTGCCTTTCTGCGTTTGCAAAATTTGAAAAATGCTTATAGTTTCATTGCAACTAATAGTTAAAAAAAGGCCATTTTTAGGGTTTTGGGGAGATACAACTTTTAGAGAGTAAAAGGATGGCTAACAAGTTTGTGGTAAAGATCTATGAAAATTTCAGCTTTCTATCTTCAAGGGTGTAAAAGTTTTGTAAGCGTGTCCACGGACGGACGGACGGACAGAGTGAAACTAACATGTGATTTTTTTTTTAAAAAAACTTTTGGAAAAGTGTTAAAAACTTAAAATGAAAATTTAATGAAATGTTAGAATATGTTTAAAATAAAAGTATTATTTTTGAATTTTGAAAGATATTTAGACGTATAAAAATCATCGATAAGGGGGGAGTGTTAGAATTATAATTTGATGCATTCTAACAATTTATTGATGCCATATATATCTATCAGGCCACCAAGCTAAAATTATTTTCCGAAATTTTGAATCGGAAAAAAATTACAAAAACAATACTAATGTTTTATGTTTTCGAAGTACATATGCCGATTAAAATATGTATGTTTTTATTTTTCTTGTGAATTTTTTCAGTATTATATTTATACTATTCTATTTGGAAGACAAGAAAGGTTGTCCGCGCTAAAAATTGCAATTTTTTTTTAAATGCATTTTTCAGATGAAATTTGTCAACCGATTTTTTTGAAATTTAAATTTTAAATTTAAAAAAAAAATATGTAGAATTAGCAGAGCTAAAACTTGATCAATTTCCTTCACACAAATAATTTCCAACACCTTCAATTCAAACTTCATATAAATTTGGAATTTATTATTCATTTGCATCTAAAAATACCTTAAAAAATTTTTATATAAATAAGTTTTGGAGTTGCATTCAAAATGAATTTTAAAAATATGTTTCCTAAAATTTATAGGAAATCAATCGATACAAACCTTCCTCATTCCCATTTAAAAGGGTACTGAGTTAAATTAGGAAAAAACAAGTAAAAACGTTTCAGTCGGTATAAACCGATTGAATTATACCCTGCACCTTTCGTTATTGTGTAGCAATTACTTGAACCTCTGAAATCATTCTATAGAAACTTCACGGACGTGTCTGATCTATAATCGGACACACAACTGCCAAGTTTTATGAATCTGACTTTATTACTTTTCCAAATATGTAAAATAAGCTTTTGGAGTTTTATGGCAAGTACCTGAACCTGTCAAGCAATTCCATCAAAACTTCACAAATATATCTGATCTATAATCGGACACACAACTGCCAAGTTTCATGAATCTGACTTTATTATTTTTCCAAATATGTATTAAGAATAAGCTTTTGGAGTTGTATGGCAAGTACCCGAACCTGTCAAGCAATCGAACCAAAACTTTAGAAATATGTGTGACCTATAATTGGACACACGACTGCCAAGTCTCATGAATTTGACTTCATTATTTTTCCAAATATTTAAAATAAGCTTTTAGACTTGTATGGGAGCTACTCGAACCTGTCGAGCAATTCCACCAAAACTTCAGAAATATATTTCAGCCATAATTGGACACATGACTGTCAAGTTTCATGAATCTGACTTTATTATTTTTCCAAATATTTAAAATTAGCTTCTGGAGTTGTATGGCAGGTACCCGAACCTGTCAAGCGATTCCTCTTAAACTTCAGAAATATATTTGACCTATAATTGGACACATGACTGCCAAGTTTCATGAATCTGACTTTATTATTTTTCCGAATATAGAAAATTTGCTGTTGGAGTTATATGGCAGCCACCCGAACCGGTGCAGCTATCCCATTATAATTTTTAGAGCATATGTAGAATGTAATTGGACACATGTATACAAAATTTTATATTTATAGCTTTATTAGTTTTTGAAATATTTAAAATAAACTCTTGGAGTTGTATGGCAGCTACCCGAACCCGTTGTCCGACTTAGTCCAATAACAATAGGGTTCGTCCTTGGCACAAAAGAAAAAACTTGTGAAAGTTTGGTGCCGATTGCATTATTCGTTTTTGAGTTATCGTGCGATCGGACGGACGGACATGTCTAAATCGACGCAGAATTTTACGCTGAGCAAGAATATATATATATGTCCATACCGCAGATGACTCCTTCAAGTAGTTACAAACTCCATACCAAAGTTAATATACCCTTCACGAAGTGCAGGGTATAAAAATCAAAATAAATTTTAAATTGAAAAATTTTCAAAATTTTTTAAAATATTTTGCTTTTAAAGAAAATATTGGGTATTTCAAATAATCAAGGCTAACTTTAAATTAATGCAAAATATCTCCGACAAATTAAAAATTTAAATCTGCAAAAATAGGATGCTTGATAAAAAAAGGACGGTGGAAAATCGTAATACGTCTCAACTTTCAAAGCGTTGTTAAAAATTTTGTGTATATATGCAACAAAAATATTTCAAGTTTGCAAAAAATTCTAGCATAGAAACAATAATTTGTTGTTATTGGTTACATTTAGGGTTTTCTGTCAGACTCAACATAATATAGACCTATATTATTGCTACAAATAATGTCTAAATTATTTGAAAAGTTGCTGTTGCTAAAAATAATACTAGTTCTAGCGGAAAAAAATTTAATACCTGTACACCAATTTGGTTTTAGAGAAAACCACTTCACTATAGACCAGATACTTAGGATTACCAATATTATAGAAGATGCTCTAGAAAGAAAACAAATATGTTCTGTAGTATTTTTAGATATACCCAAGGCATTTGAGAAAATTTGGCACGAGGGACGCATGTATAAAATAAAACGAGATCTGCCAAATCCAATCTGCGAAATATTAATGTCTTTCCTACAAAATACAAACTTTCGTGTAAAACTCAACGATGAATATTCTAAATTAAAAGAAAATAGGGCAGGCGTTTCTGTTTTATATCTTTTATATAACATACAAACGATATGCTAATGGATGAAGACACAAAAATAACCACATTTGCTGACAACACTGCTATCTTGGTAGTTAGTAATATCTTAGTAGACAGATCATCGAAATGTACTATCTACTAAGTACATGTTGACTTTACAAATAAAAGCAAAACAAATAATATAAAAATCCAAGTAAATGGAATCAACATCCCATACTCAAACATCTAAGTATTACACTTGATTGTAAGTTGAGGTGGAAACAACACATTAAAAAAAAGAAAGAAAAGATAAAAATTAAAACCAGAGAAATATTTTGGATTTTTAGTAGTAAGGAAGTAACTATAAATAATAAAATATTCATATATAAGCAGTTGATAAAACTCATATGCTAAAAGAACGAACAAAGATATAATCCAAAGAGTTCAAAATAGAATATTGAGGAAAATTGTAGATGCTCCGTGGTATGTAAAAAAAACAGCGTCATTCATCGAGACCTAAGCATACCCACAGTAATCGAAGAAATACAATCTCACAGAGCAAAATTGAGAAACAGAACCTCAATTCACAAGAATAGCGAAATTTCCGCAAGCATGCAAAACCATTGCTTAAAAGAAGGCATATAGAAGGCTTAAAAGAACAAGACCATTGGATCTGAATATTCATAGAAGATTATAATATCATTTCATTGGGAGAACTTATCATTGGGTAATAACCCCGCACAAGCGTTTCAAAAAGATAGTCAAATTACTAGATAATACTAAATAATAATAAAAAAAAATTTTTTGCTTTACTAAAACTTTTACTAGTGAAAATTTATTGAAGATGGTTTAACAAGTTAGCAATTTCTATATCAAATAAGATATACACTTTTTCCAATTGCAATTAGTGTCAATCAGAACTGAATAAATTCTCTTATCTAATTTTAAGTTTTTAAAGGTGCGTTTCACTTATATCAAAATAATCAACATGAACATTTAAACGAAATGGTAAAAAAACTAGAATATATTTTCGTTTCAAAAATGTATAATATGACACATCTATATTTCAAGGTTTTCTTAGAAAATTTTATGATCTCGAGAAATGAATAATTGTTGATATCTCATTTTGTTAAAAATGTTTTTGGAGCAATTAGTGAGTTATAACATTCTTCAAGGATTTTTTTAAAATTACGAGGAGAAATCGTTCTTCAAGAATTTTTTTTTGTTCAAATGTAGATATCATGTTCTGACAGAAAACCCTAGATATATACATATAACTAATTTCATTTAAGAACCTAAAATGGATCAAATGCCTTTAATTGCTCATTTCTCTTACATATAATATGCCAAAATCAAAATAAAAAAAATATTAAGCAAATAGCAAACAAAAAAATCTTCTTCTTCAATGCTTTTTTTTCAAATTAAAAAATAATTTTAATAGAAAATAAATTGAATCGAAGTTGACCCGATTGAAGTTGTTCAGAAAATTGTTTTTATGCAGTGGCTTTATAGTTGCTAGGGCAGTGTAAAATCTCATTACAAAAATTTGACAAGACTTTAAATTTAAATTGTAAGAACGTGTATAAAGATTAGTATTAGAGATTCAATATTACTAAACAGTTCATTTGTATATTAGATTATTGGTTTACTTGTAAAATACAGAAAATGTTCCAGAAGTTTTACGTCAATATTTTGTTGTCGAAGCAGAGCGATAGAATGACTTCAGACGAAAATAAAGTTGGGTTAAACCAATGGTTTGTATTGTAGCACTTTTTCCTTCAACAAGTGAAAATACTAATGGCATTTTTAGTATAACTTCTAGAGGGTGTACAAATTTTGTAAACATGTCCATGGACGGACTGACGGACGTATCCGTCTGTCGAGTGAAATTAATAAGCACTTTTTTTTTTCAAAAAATTTTTGGAAAAGTGCTTAAAAACACCTGTTGACTTTTTATATTTTGAACCTCTCTTCTCGAATTATGGGGCCCCAAAGTTGGAATATAGAAATACCGTTCAATTTTTACATTTTTATTTATAACTCGGGAAATATGACAGGTAAAGCCAACTTTGTATACTTATTTTAAAGTTAACAAAACTTAATCCTTCTAACTAAAAGTATGACATTGGTTGTCAAGACGTTTTTAGTTTTAGAGACATTTGAGAGCAAAATTTAAATTTTACAAAAATTTTCAAATAAATTTTTGTTTAATCGTCATTTTCTCAGAATTCCACGCTAGTAGCATATCAGTTTTTTTTACAGAAAGAAGCGCCGTGTATTGTGACCTGATTTTGATATAGCATAATGTGATGATTTTGATATATCAAGCGAAAAACTAAGGTCAAAATATTATAAAATTTTAGTTATTTAGTTAATTTCTTTTATTTGAAAAATACTTAACTATTTTTGAAACAAAACAATTTTTTTTAATCTTTATTACGCAGTATTATGCATTATTAACATGCATTTTTCTTTTCCAAAATGAAAGGCATTTGCATCACCTTTATTTCTCTACAAAATATTTCCAAAAATTTCAGGAATATCGTATCTACGATAGGAAATTCAAGATCAACAACAAAAAAAAAACTCTTTCGTAAAAATTTAATTAAAATTCAAGTAATAGGTATTCACGCTTGTTATTATTTGAAAAAGATTTAGGTCATTAATTACCTTCACCTGTACCTAATATCGAAAATTTTTATTTCCTTATTACTTATTAACAAGTGTTTTTGATTAAAGTAATTAAAGCAAAATTAATCAAAATTTATTAAAATCCTATTTACACAAACTTTTCTATTTTAATGTCCATAATAATGCTTTTAATTACCCTTGCATAAAATAATCTCGGCATAAAAAAATTCGATATACGCCTCTCAAATTTTTAATTCAATTTCCTCATTGTAATTAAAATCTTACTAATGCATACGGAGAAAAGCATGAATATACAACTAGTATTTGATACTCCAAAGTATTCATTATACTATCACCTAAATTCGACAATCCTATGATACTAAAATAAAATATTTTAAATATGAAAACATTGCCGTTCGTTTGCTTTATCGTTACATTGTATGTTGTTACATTGGGTAGATACTTGAGGCAAATGAAAAATTTATTTTACAACTGCAACGAGTTGTTGTAAAATACTTGTACAATAAAACCCCAACAATTCATATATAAAATTAAAATTGTATAAAACTGAAAAAAAATCATTAAGCATGTATGTCTTTATTAGTTAATGCAAAAACATCGTTATACATTTGTTACATATATTACAACATTTAGCATTTTTTACTTAAATAGAAAGTACAAAATGCAAAAGTTGAAATATGATACCTCTGTATGCATCTGTTATCAAAAAACAAATTAATGAGAATTGAGTGCACATATTATAACTTAAAGTTTAATAAATAAGTTTTTATCGAATATCACTTTTCTATATTGCAATAATTTCTTTTTAAAAAAAAATTTGGAGAAATATACACGTTTAATGCAAAACTTTAAACGGGGTGTGCAATCTTATGTATTTTATGAATTTTTCAACAAGTTTTTATGGCATTCTTTCAAGACCAGTGCCCTTGTAAGATCGGTTGCCAAAAACAAATTCTTTTTCAAAATCAATTTGAATTACAACTCTTTCCAGTAACATATCGCCACATGCCATATACATATGTGGAACTTTAAAAAATTTGCGTAAACTCTTCAAGTCTTTCTGCAAGAGGTATATTTAAAAACAAATTTAATCACAACACCGTTTTGCAAGCAATAAAAAGAATTCCGTGCAAGATTTAAATTTCATATTGAATAAAACATCTGTATAAATGTGTAAGAATGTTTGCATTAGAAGTTTGATCTCAATTTTATTAAAGTTCACTTTGAATGGTGTGTAAAGCAAGTTTAGTAGACATATCGTTATGTCAATAATCGACTAATGGATGCAGATAGCTACTAACATAAATTTGTTTAAAAAAATTTAAAATATCTTACCTCAACATCAGATTCTTCTGAAGACTCGAAATCGCTTGCAATGTCGACACGAACTCTTGTACCAGAATCACTGAGAATATCTTCCTCTATCCATTCGTTATTTTGGATTGCACTCTTTTCTTCGTTATTTTCAAACTCATTTTCAGAATATTCTTCTACATAATCCCCAATCAGTGACTTTTTGGTGTTATAAAGCTCTTTTTGCATTGCGCTATATTCAAACTCTTCTTCTTCTTCAACTTGATCAATGTTACTTTCTTTGCCTTCCTGTTCAATATTCTCGTCTTCCAAAGCCTTTGTAAAAGCAATTTCAGGGAAATTGTAAATGTCTTGGTACACACCTTTTTTTAAACGTTCTAATAATTCTTTCTCGATTGCATTTTCCACTTTTGCTGCTATTAGAGCCTTATCTTCTCTCCTTTTTTCACGGCGTTCTACTTTTCTTGACAGAGGAATTATAAGTCTTTCCGTTCTTAATTTTAATTTGCGCATTCGTGTTAAATAATGTGTTATTTTTAAAAATCGTTTTTTACATTTGTTTAAAATAAATTTGGGCCAAAAAACTAGGTTTTCATTAATCTGATTTATTGCTTTATCAAAATTTCTTGATAATTTAATCCGTTCCCATAGTCTATTCGGAAAATGGGATCTTTCCACGGTTTTGACAAACAAATAAATAATGCCATTTTCTTCACGGACTGTTGCATATTGACTGTTAGCCAAAGGACAAGTTCGCCGCGTACACAGTCCAGTTAAATTATATTCATGCCGACAAAATGTCCTGCTTTCTGTTCTAAAACATATAAAATGGAAAATTTGTAAATATGTTCCAGAATAAATTGAAAATTGCACCCACTTACTTTGATTTATGAGAACAAAAAGACTTGTTTATAATGCTCCAAACAACCTAAAATAAATTAATTATTTCAACTATAATTAAACAACTTTAACACTTACGTCATCATGTTGCATTTTCTTAAACTACAAGTTCCTGCTTTAGCGTTAAAAAATCTCAATTGTTACTCAAATCTAAAATATCACAAAAGACTTGATTTTCAAATACTAACACGTGCTTGGTATAGTGCTGCCGTTGCAAAATAAAAAGTCGTAAATATAAAAACTGTATTATACATTTATGGTTTATATATAAAAAATGTCTATATTCATATTCCGCTAGAATTCAGCAAAATATTGTAAATACGAAATTCTTTGGTCAATTGTCAACAACAAATTGTTTGGGACAAGTGGGAGAAGGCGCTAGACAACGATGAATTACATTAGTGACTTGCTCTCGTTATTGTTACTGAAGTTCTAAAAATTTCACAAAACACGAAGTCCCTAAAATGGCATCAAGCGACTTTGTCTTTTTTAACGGCGTCACTGGTTTATCAGTATCTGCCTTTTGCATTGGCTAATTACTGGCAACTGGCAAGGAAGTTACAATTATGAGAACAGCACCAAATGGCACAGCAGCACCTGCGGACGATTTCCGTTGTTAACCCAGAGCAAGAGCGGAACGGCAAAGTTAATTAAACCGGATTATACAAGGATATAATGCCAAACACGCATGAAAAAATATAATATCAATAAAACAGACAGTGGTAAAAAAGGAATATAGGCTATTTCAGCACCCGTTGTGAAATTCGCGGCGGTAATTTCGTTTGATTCTGGGCGGACCCATTTTAATATGTATATTCTATATGAATTCTGACATCGCTCTTGTTCTGGTTTAACTTGACTGTCTGTGCAAGTGTTGGAAACATAAGTATGCTAACAGCAATTTTAGCAAATATTTTGACATCAATCCTTTTCATAACCACAGTATATCGCGATATATAGCGAGAACTGCGCTATATTTGAGTTCATAAGCAAATGTTGCTAATCAATTTTGTTCATACACATTGCTAATCTATCAGAAAGATATTAATTATTATGGCTAGCGCAGTTAAAGCTGCTGTCCTTTTTTTTTATTAGTTTTTGCAGCTTTACTTTTGTAATTATTAATTATTGTACTTGAAAATAACAAAATTTTTTGTTGACGACAATTTTCGTTCATGAACACAATATTGCAAATGCAAAGTAGCAAAAGTATTTATACAACTGTCAAAATCATATTGCTTATGTATCACATTACTGTTTTGCAGTATTGTGTTTATGAAAATCTCTATCATATTATGGCATAAATAACAAATCTAATCAAAAATCAGTTTTTAATTTTTTTATATTGACGATAAAAATTAAACAAAGAAAAATATTGTTTAAATAATAAAAAGTTTAGTATTTCTTCCAAAATTTTTTTATTTTATTTAAACTATTGGTTTGCAAAACAATTCTATGTAAAGAAAAATATTCAAGCCAGTAACTTTGTATTTTAAAGAAATTCACAATTAATATTGCATAAACTTTTTATAACACTCAAAGATATAGTTCTGCATATAGAATTATCCCGGAAAATGCCTAAAAATATATAAAGTCTAAAAACATTCTACTCCTTGTTTCATTCCTTTCATTTTCATTAATATTTATACTTAATTCGAAATATTTATATTAATTGAATTTACTATATTATGCTTCTTTGAAGTAACACTCAAAGGTTTTACTAATTCGTTGCATTCTCAACAGACATCCTAAGTCAAAAAATGTTACTAAATCATTTGATTTAACTCTATTTAACTTTTTCTATACACATGTTTACACATATTTGTAAAATTGTGTACATTATTTGTAAAAAATGTGTATTTGATAGAATTATTGGTTGTATAAACAATGTAAACCATGTCTTAACACGGTTGCTCGCTTTTCTTAACTTAACTAACTCCTTTGAGTAACAAAATCCTAATCAAAACTTAAAATGTGTCAAACCAAAGCTGGCAGAATTACAGGCGTGGATCCTAAATGAGAGTGACAGTTCACAGCTGACGAATTTACACATATTCTTACGGGATCTACCCTTTTTAATATATCTATATAATTTTCAAGTGTATACTATATTAATTAAATTTATATGCTTCATAATCAAAATAAAAATTATTGCATGTGTGAATTCTTTTTATATTTAAAGTCCATATAATTTATGTGATTTTAGTTTTATTAGGAAATATTTTCACATTGTTAGTAAGTCTAATTCACTGATTTACCTAAACTACCGTATCAGTAACTTTAAAACTTAAACAAATTTCTTTATATTATTCGTATTGTTTGTTTTTGTACAGGAGAAACTTGAAACGATGCATTTTTTATAATGATTATAAAATTTTAAAAGCACTATCATAATTATAAAACCTAAAATGAAATAATTACAAGTTTAAATTCTAAATTTAAATCTAATAAAATTTTTATTAACTTTATTTTAAGCCTATTCTAGACTAAAAAATATAGCACCAATTTTTTTTATATTCAGTGTATTATGATTTTTACTCTCAATTCAAAAAACAATGAAGCCAAATTTTTTCTGGTTGCCTCTTTCTTTGCTCCGAAAATTGTCAAAGTCGTAACAGAATCGTATTTATTTTATTTTTTTGTTTAGACTCTGCTATAAAATATGTATAATTTGTAAAAAGAATAAGTTAAAAAATTTTTTTAAAGTAAAAAAGATAAAATATTTTAAAAATTAAGATATTTCAAAATATTTTTCCATTTTAGATATCTGTGAAAAAAAAACAAATTTAAACAAAACTCATTATTATTTTTTCTTTCAATAAATTTCTTTTATAAATTGCAGATAACTATGAGTATTTTAATGTCACAATATTTTATGACCCTTGAAAATGAAAATATTTTATTAATAAATTTGTGATATTATCAGTTTTGTTTGAAAATTTGACTGAACAGCTCTAAACAATGTTAATAATAATAAATATAAATACATATATATTGTAATGACAACAAAACAGTATAACTTTTAACAAATTTTAATTGGTAATTTGGTATGTTGGCGTATTCTTCCTTATCCATTAATTGAGCTTCACATACTAATTCAATATAAAACAATATATTTTATTAATAATCCGAGCTAATATTTTATTTTACTTACTGAATTCAACGGCATCGGACGTCTTCATATATTTTTTTGGTGACCAAATTTTAACTCTATGAAGGGAAATATACTTCATTTCATCATTTCTAGGAAAACTGTGATCACACAAAAAAACAGATCAATTTAAATATTTATTTTGTATGCTTCATTTTATCAAACACAAACTCATTTTCCTTAAAAAATATTCCGGTCCTGGTAAAATGATGTTATCCGAAGTAATTTTAATTTTAAACAAAACAAAAACAAATGTTTTCTTTGCAAAATTAAAAATTAGTAAAATTACAAATTCTGAATTAATCAAAGCATTATTGAATAAATATTTCTTTTAATTATTAAAATGAATAATATTCACATGCATATGGTGTAAAAAAATTACTTGTTTTTGCAAATGGGAATAACAATTTAGAACTATACACCTTTTCTTTTTCAACATTTTTTTTTCTTTTTTTTAGTTTTTCATAAGTTTTCATAAAATATTCTTTTTTTAATCCCTATTAATAAATATTTTATGATTTTTGATTTACAAACTTTACAAAAAAGGTTGAATTTTCACTTTTTCTAATTAATAATTTGGAAAAAGTTGATCCTGTGGGAGATTTATGATATAGATCCCATAAGAATGGTTGTTAATTCGTCAGCTGTGAACTGTCACTCTCTCTTAAAGTCCAGGCCTGTATTTCTGTCAGCTGTGATGCCCGATGTTTTAATTTTAAATTTAATTGAATTATCGATTGAATAATTTTCCTGTTTTGATGAGTAACATATAAGAAGAGCATAACATTGTGTATCAAACATTGGCACATACGACCCATCATTAATAGGAGGTGTTATAAGATTTGGTTTTTTTGTTGTTTTGTGCTAAATTTAAGAATTGTTAAACATATATTAAGATTATTTTGAAAATAAACAGGCGCAAAGTTTGATTTCCTTCAATTTTATTCAATGATCAGAAGAAGCAAATCACGATCTACAGAACGAGATAAGTATGACAAGGATCGTGATCGAGATCGAGGCCGCGATAAAGAAAAAAACCGAAATCGTGAAAAGAAGTACAAGGTGGAAAAGCGAAGATCTAAATCTCCAACTGGAAAGGAAAAGAAGACTGACATATTTTATCAGCAGCCTAATAAGGGCAAGGAATGTCTTTTAGAAATAAAGAAAGAGGATAAGAAAAATTTGAAGGTTGATAAAACAGTTTTAGATACAAAGGATTTTAAATTAATAAAAGCTTCCAAAAAAGAGCCTCTTTCTCTAGAAGAGTTATTAGAAAAAAAAAAGCAAGATGAGTTTGCCAAAAGTAAGCCTGTATTCGTAACTAAAGAGCAGCGTGTAGCGCAAGCCTTAGCAAGTAAGTAAAATGTGAATATTTTGAAAAATGTTTTTTAATAAAATAAACTGTAGGACGTCAGGCTGAAGTGGCAGCATTAAAATCAATTCAAAACCATAAATTAAGTAAATTTCAACAACCTACAGAAACAGTTACTGCAGAAAAAAGATTGTACGATCGGGATCTTGACCATGAAAGAGAAAGGGATAGAGACAGAGAACGAGATCGGGAACGGGATAGGGAAAGAGACAAAACCCGTGAAACTAAACGAAACGAAGAATTAATTTTGAAAGACAAAGAAAAAGAATTAGAAGCTATTCGGGAAAGATATTTGGGAATAATCAAACGCAAACGTCGTGTTAGAAGACTAAATGACAGAAAATTCGTGTTTGATTGGGATGCTTCAGAGGACACTTCGGTTGATTATAATCAATTGTATAAAGAAAGACATTACGTACAGTTTTTCGGCCGTGGCAATATAGCAGGAATTGATATCAAAGAACAAAAACGTAAACAAAGCAAATTTTATGGTGATTTACTTGAAAAACGAAGAACTGAAGCAGAAAAGGAACAAGAAAAAGTGCGTCTAAAAAAAGTGAAAAGGAAGGAAGACAAACAGAAGTGGGATGACAGACATTGGTCAGAAAAAGATATAGAGGACATGACCGAACGTGATTGGCGAATTTTTCGAGAAGATTTCAGTATAACTATTAAAGGTGGTAAAGTTCCAAACCCTATTCGTACTTGGAAAGAATCTGGTTTGCCTAAAGAAATATTAGATATTATTGATACAGTGGGGTATAGAGAACCTACACCTATTCAAAGGCAAGCTATATCGATTGGTTTGCAAAATCGTGATATTATTGGAGTTGCGGAGACTGGTTCTGGGAAAACATTAGCATTTTTAATACCTTTGTTAACTTGGATTCAATCGTTACCAAAAATGGAAAGGCTGGAAGATATAGATCAAGGTCCTTATGCCATAATTTTAGCACCCACACGTGAATTGGCTCAACAAATCGAAGAAGAAACAATTAAATTTGGTAAACCTTTAAATATCCGCACAGTGGTTGTTGTTGGAGGTCTTTCTAGAGAAGAACAAGGTTTTCGATTACGTTTAGGCTGTGAAATTGTAATTGCTACTCCAGGTCGTTTAATTGATGTTTTAGAAAACCGGTATTTGGTTCTCAATCAATGTACTTATATTGTTATGGATGAAGCCGATCGAATGATAGATATGGGATTCGAAGCGGATGTACAAAAAATCTTAGAATACATGCCCGTATCTAATTTAAAACCTGATACTGAAGAGGCAGAAGATGCAGCAAAGTTAATGCAAAATTTTTTTTCAAAAAAAAAGTATAGACAAACTGTCATGTTCACAGGTAAAATGAGATCATATATCATAAATTGATAGATTTGGTAATCATATTGAAATTTTAGCTACAATGCCAGCAGCAGTCGAACGCTTGGCTAGAACATATTTGAGAAGACCAGCTACAGTTTACATAGGTTCCATAGGTAAGCCCACTGAGCGTACGGAGCAGATAGTATTTATGATGGGTGAAAACGACAAACGCAAAAAGTTAATGGAAATATTGTCAAAGGGTATTGAACCTCCTGTAATGATATTTGTAAACCAAAAAAAAGGAGCAGATGTTTTGGCTAAAGGTCTTGAAAAATTGGGCTTTAATGCTTGTACACTTCATGGAGGCAAGGGACAAGAGCAAAGAGAGTTTGCTCTAGCTTCGCTAAAAAGTGGTGCAAAAGATATACTTGTGGCAACAGATGTGGCTGGTCGTGGCATTGATATTAAAGATGTTTCGTTGGTTATTAATTATGACATGGCCAAGACAATTGAAGATTACACTCACAGAATCGGGCGTACCGGCCGTGCAGGAAAGACTGGTTGCGCCATAACCTTTATTACTAAAGATGATAGCCCATTATTTTATGATTTAAAACAATGTATAATGGCTAGTCCAGTTTCCGTATGCCCACCAGAGCTGATGAATCATCCCGAAGCTCAACACAAGCCTGGAACTGTAGTCACAAAAAAAAGAAGGGAAGAAAAAATTTTTGCATAAAATTTTTTTAGTTTACGTATGTATTTCAAGTTCTTTTATAAAAATGTGTAAAGAAACAAACATATTTTTAAACCAAATGTAGAAGATATTTTTAGTTTACTTTTCTGTAGTTTCAATTAAAATTTCACGAGCTTGCGGCAGAATTTCCTATTATGGAAGCCTTTTGACTACTCCGCATTTCTCTAATTTTGTTTTTTTCCCAAAAGTACAAAAAAATTAATTGAAAAACTAAATATTATGAGGAAGGTTGATTAATATTTCTAGATAAGAAAAACTGTTCGTTCGATTTTGTTGTGTAAAAATTGCACATTTAGTCCTAAAATTTTACATAAATATATATGTACATAAATATATATATATACATATATATTTTTGTATGTGTCTATAATTTATTTTTTATAATTTATTATCTATTTAATTTATTATAATTTATTATCTATAATTTATTATCTATTTGAGACTTGCAATTTATTCGTAGCTACCTCAACAGTTTTACCGGTCGCTAATATTGCCATATCGTCTTAAACGTAGAAAGTTTCTTCGTTTTGCGGGATATCTCTGGTGTAAAGCAAGTACAAAAGAGTTCCTAGCACACTTTCCTCAGGCACACCAGCCCTCAAATTTTTAAAGATGGAGTACTCTTCCTCAAATTTTACCCTGCATATTCTATCAGAGAGGTAGGGCTTCAATATCTTTAGAAATGGCTCCGGCAGAAACTCCCTTATTTTGAAGTTGAGGTCCTTGTGCCAAGCTCTGTCAAACGCCTGGGCTACGTCCAAGAAGACAGTTGAGAAATATTCTTTGTTTTCAAGCGCATTTTCAATGACGTTCGTTAGCCTGTGTTCTTGGTCGATAGTGGAATGTCGACCGAAACCCAAACTGATGGTCGGGGATGAGACCTCTATTTTCTACTATTGGTTTCAGGCGACTTTATAAAACCCTTTCAAACAGCTTCGACAACACCGGTAGGAGTGATATAGGTCTATACGACTTCATCACATTGGCAGGTTTTCCAGGCTTGGGTATCATGATGATTTCTGCGACTTTCCACTGAGCTGGGACATGATTAAGCCTCAGCGACGCATTGAACAGAAAAAGAAGCTTTTTTACAGCAATTTCTGGCAGCTTTTTCATTATTTCAGCTGTTGTCAAGTCGTAACCTGGGGCCTTGTTATTTTTTAAGAGCTTAATTTCAGCCTTGAGTTCAGTCATTTTAATTTTCGGAACTCGTACAGTGTCAATTCTGTTCGCCAAAGTTAAATTTTCTTCTGAGGTTTGTCTTGGGAGTGGTAAAAAGATACCCTCGAGATTGTCTGCAAAGTTGTTCGCCTTTTCTGCATCGCTTACTATCCAGAACCATCATCCTTTCTAATAGGTGGAACTTGATACTTAGGTTTCTTAATATTTTTAACAGCTTTCCACAAGGAGTAATTGTGGTCCTTGTCAGCCGATAAGTTATCTAAATAGTTGGCTATAGATACAATTTTTATCTCTTTTGGAGTTTCTTTAGTTTATTCTCCAGTTGATTCACGCGCGTTTTATCCTGTGGGAACCGCGAAACTTGTCATACTTTTTTTTCAGCGATCAGGTTCCTTCAGAGGATACGTCACATTTTTTCCCTTTTTTTAACTTCCGAGGAGCTACTCCAGGCTGCGCCCTGTACATTTGTTATGAATAGATCAAGCTCATCTTCAAGTTGGTATTTAGTTCTTAGTGGCACGTTTAACACTGTGTTGTTCTAAGCCCCATGGGGTTGTCCGGTTGGTTAGTTTGCAAATGTCACTTTTGAGTATCACTGCTTCCGAGACCGTTAATATAACTGGAGAGTGGTCAGAGTTTAAAACATAACTTTCGGTTATATACATACATATGTATAATTGTCTGAAATTCCTTTAGTTATGAAAAAGTCCAATAGGTCTGCAATTCTGTTACTGTCTGTTGGCCAATAAGTTGGCTTTCTGGTGGAGTGAAAATTACAACTGATTTCAGCTGCTGTTTCGTAAAGAGCCCTACCTTTCGGAGTCGTGAGTCTAGACCCCCAGAAAGTATTTTTCGCATTGAAGTCGCCACCGATCAGGAAGTCTTTGCCCATTTGATCAAGCATTGATTTAAAATCAGCCACTTTTAAATTACAGCGTAGAAGACAGTAAATGGAAGCAATCACTAGTTCCTTATTTTTAACACTAACCTGCCCTTGATGCTTAATATTACTTTTGATAAAGATTGACGAGCCGCTTTTAGCTTTATTATCAGGATGTATTGCACTGTAGCTCTTATAACCATTAATTTTTAGATTACTTTCTTTGGTAAAATGGGTTTCTGTAACCAAGCAAGCGTCAATTTTTCCTCTGTTGAGAAAGATTTCAAGTTCCTGCATATGTTGCGGAAGACCATCAGCGTTCCATGTCATAATTCTAAGAGTTTGTGTCATTTTTTATTTAGTCTTGTATTTACTTTATTTTCTAGTCTAGCCAATCTATCATTGAATTGTTTTTCAGCAATTTTTTGATCGTCAAGTTTTTTTAGTATAAGCTCTAGAATTTCGTCTGTTGTAGGCTTTGCAGCAACTTGAGCGTAAGTCTTTTTCTTTTATTTTGCCATTGGAACTGTCTTTCTCTTAATTATTTTGGGTATCATTTTGCAATATGACTTAGTATGGTTGAATTCCTGGCATCTTGTACACTGTGGTATAGCTTTTAATTTTTTCCTCACTGGTTCAATTTTGACTCTTAAATTTAGAATAGATTTGATTTTATATATTTTTTCAATGTTTTGATTCTTATCAAACGTTAGCATAAACATGCATAAATTTTGTTGTGGACGACGATGTCTCCTCTATCATTTTCTGCCCTATTTTTTTTCATTATATTGGTGGTATCTTTTATTTCAAAGCCTTGCTTTTGGAGATCGTTGATTATGTCAGCTTTTTGGCATGACCAATGTAATCCTCTGGCCATAACTTTTATCGGTCTATTGTTTTTGTCTTCATAGGAAAACCACTGAATCTTGTCTTCCTCCAGCTTTTTGACTAAGCTGCGGTAATTAAATGGACTTTCAGTGTTTACTTTAAACACGTTGTTACCCAATGCAGCTATCCTATAGTTTGTGATAACCGCGTTTAACAGTTTGCACAGCTTAGAGTAGTCGACTATTCCCACAATATCAATGGGAGAAGGTCTGTGCACATACGTTTTGTCCACTTTCACTTGTTGATTGGTGTTGATATCATTTTCGGTTTTTACTACTAATTTGGACATGTATGGCTGATTATTTACTTCTGTCTGTTGGGTTGTGTTCACTTCTGGCGACGATTTCGTTTTTTTCTTCTTACAGGGTTTTTTCTCTCTACGTGTAGACATCGGCTCCATCTCTGAGTCATACCCCGTAAGATCGGATTTCTCACTTGAGCTCACTGCTCTTGATGGAACATTTTCAGCCTTCATTTCGTTGATTTCTTTCCTCATAGTAGCAAGTATTTCTTTTTTAAATTTAAATATGAGTATGAATTTTATTTTCTTAATGTTGTTTTTATATTAGTATTACTGTAAAAATTATTTTTCTGCTCTTAATAATCTCTTACTGTAACTAATTTTCTGCGCTTGTAATCTGAGCCAACGGACATTGGCTCAGGTCACAACTTACAAGTAGCTGATTTAATCAGTAAAATGAAACATGTAGAAAAGAAAAAAATGGTTGTAGTGAACAATAGATATTTTAAGAATTTAGAAAAACACTGATTGAAAAAATTGAAGAACAGTATAACTACAAACAGGAAATGCAAAAGAAGACGTGAATTTAGAATGAGTAAACCTTAAAAAAGCACTTGTTGTAGCCAAAAACGGAATAAGCAAATTCACCAGAATAAGGTATAAAAATACTTGAGTGAACGAAGAGATAGCAAGAGATTAATGGAAGAAGAAAGTACTACAACATAAATATGAATAAACACAAAGAAGTAAATAGCAGATGAAGTAAGGAAAGCACTAAAAAACGTAAAAGAAAATATAGCGAAGGGACCGGACGCAATAAAAAACGAAATATGAAAACTATTAGAAACTTTTGGAGAAAAAGCTCTGACTAGCTTATTTAATAAAATTTATAATACTGGTGTTCTCCCTAATGAATGGCTGTCATCCACCTTCATCACGCTACCAACAAAAGCAACACGATAGACCATAACCAATACAGAACAATCAGTTACATGTGTCACACGTTAAAGCTATTTCTTAAAGTGATTCACAACAGAATTAACAGCAAGTTTAATTAGCAAAAATTTAAATATGAAGAACACCAGAATAATGCAATACTTATACTGGAAGCATACTCTTTCGGCTACTTCATTCAATATTTACGCTGGAAAAATAACAAAAGAGGCGCTTGACGACAGCGACATAGGCGTCAAAGTTAAAGCGTTTGTTAATATGAAAAACATTTTTTGCAAAAAAGAAATAAATTTAATATTGAAAATGAAGATGCTAAAATGCTACATATGGTCCATTCTGTTGTATGGCTGTGAAACATGGCTTCTAGAAGAATATGGTATTAATAAAATAAATGCTTTTGAAATGGGGCTGTATAGAAATATATTAAAAGTATCATGGATGGATTATATAACGAATGGCAAAATTTTAAGAAGAATGGGAATGAAGAAGCAAATAATAAACACCATGATGTCTAGAAAATTAAGATATTTTAATCATCTCTTCCGGAATTCTTGGCAAAAGGAAAAATTGTGACAAGTGCAGAGGAAGATAGAAGAAGATATGGATGCAAAATCTAGGCGAGCATTTAAATTTTTCATCAAAAGAGCTTTTTAAATTGGCCAAAGATAAACAAAAAATTTAACAGATAACAGCCAACCTCCATAGTGGAGACGGCACTTAAAGAAAGAAAAATCTAGGTTGTTTATAAACAATATAGCGAAAACTATGTGTTTTGATTTTATGGAATAGTTAAAATAAATTGCATATTCAACTCATTATATTTTTGCAGTATTGTGTTTCAACTTTCACCGTTATTGTTTTGCAAAATTGGGTTTATGAAAATCTCTAATATCTCACAAATTTACCATACTCTCAACAAGTGATGCGATCAATAAA